AAAACAAAAAACATTTCCATAGTAAATGTCTATAAAGTCTTACAAAACTATATTTTTTTAAATATAATAGCTCTGTTCCACATTAAATGATTGAACTGAATTCCCCATTAAATTTAAAGCATGTAAAGTCAAATTACTGTAAATTACATTTAAAACATCCGAATTAAAGTTTTAACTATATAAAATGATATCACATTGATTTCTGATCCTTTCCCGTGTATACAATATAGATTTGCCAATATATGTGCCCATCCAAACGTTATCATTGCCACTGATTTAAGAACCTATGATAAATTCATGTGCTGTATTGTGAATAATTTAGTGCTGCCCCCTAGACACAGGACAACGAATTGAATAATTAACTAAGCAAATCATCTCGGAGATCTCCTCAGCCTTAACTTCTTAACTTGTAACAGAGGCAGTACATTCTATCTCTGTGTAAAACAATGCCAAGTTCAATTATGTTGTACACTGATGCAAGCAAAAATCTGATCTCTATGCTTCATAAATCTCTAAGTATGAAAGAAGTAAAGGACTGATGAAGTGAAGGCTGTTACACTACATTGCATCACGGACTAAATGTATTGTAATCCAAACAGAATGTACTCACATCAACTTGCTAATGCTGGAATCTATTTATCTAAAACTAACAAAGCATTACATGATATGAGGCAAATGTGCAGATATTCCCCGTTTTGTTGCTCTAGACCAGGGGTCTCCAAAATTTTCATTATCTGGGCCGCATTGTATTTTTTACATATAACTGTGGGCTGGGAAAAAAAAAACTTTATCAGGTCCTCCCTACATCTACATCTTTATCAAGATCCCCATCAAAATACCTGCTTACATCAGGGTCATCATCAGAGACTCCACTTATATAAGATGTGGAGACCATAGACTCTGCTGATCTTAATCCTCAGTCAGCGCACATTGAAGATATGCCACTAGTTGCGAGTTGGATAAAATCTTTTAGCAAATCTTGTAGCAGAGTTCCCCTTTACTTCAGGGTCCTCATCAAAGTCCCCCCCTTCCATCAGATTCCCTATCAGAGTCATTCATACATTAGGGACCCCATTAGAGCCCATTTTACATCAGGGTCTACCATAGAAGCCCCCTTACATTAGGGCCCCCATCAGAATCCCCACTATACCAGAAGCAAAGACCATAGACAGTCTCTGCAGACCTTAATCCTCAGTCAGTGCACATTCAGGATATGCCACTGATCATAGCTTTGAGCTGGATAAAATCTTATAACAATCTTGTAATGCAGTCCCCCCATACATCAGGGCCCCATCAGAGGCCGTTTTACATCAGAGTCTACTGAAGGAGTTCCCCCTTTACATCAGAATCCCCATCAAAGTCCCCACTTACATGAAGGTTCCCATCGGGGTCCCTACTTACATTAGGGTCCCCATGAAAGCCCCTTCAACATCAGACTCTACCATAGGAACACCCCCTTACAATAAGGTCCCTATCAGAGTCCCCACTTACATCAGAAGTGGAGACCATAGGCAGCCTCTGTTGACCTTAACCCTAAATCAGTGCCCATTAATAATATATCACAGACCCTAGCTGCGAGCTGGATAAAATCTTGTAGCGGGCTGAATGCAGCCTGTGGGCTGTAGTCTGGAGACCGCTGCTCTAGATGACTACACCTTCCTGATCAGAAATGTGTGCAGTTTTTAGCCAGTGAAGGAGCAACACTTTAATGATTTATTTCACTGATTCACAATCACTGATATACAATCAGCACGCAATACTTCACACATGTGCTAGTTAAAGTAAAAGGAAAGGCTATGCAATAACCACCTTTTAAATGTTGCCTATCTACTGCTCTTATATTTGCTGCATACAGTTTGTAATACATCTCCATGTAAATATCTTTGCTTACTGGAGCCTATGCATTACATCTCTGAAATACATGCACATTTCACCATGTTTTATCCCTTTTTAGGGATCTGCTAGAAATGCACTAAAACAAGTAAATTCTATTGGGAACAGAAAACACACAGCATTTTTGAATACTAAATTGCATCACCCAACCTAATTAGACAACCTAAAAAAACGTGACCACTTATATGCTAATGAAATAATAAAAAATATATATAAATAAATACATAAATAAATAAATAATTATTGAATTAATAAGTCCAGTGACAAAAAAAATCCCAAAATAACAGTCCTGTGACAAAAATTGTAATTATACTGTAATTTTTCATTGGATTCTTCCGTGCTTTTGATCCCTTCACCATCCACCAGTGCAAAAACCGACATTAACCGCACTCACCAGATATTAGTGAGTCACACGCCTTTCAGGAATATTAAGGGCTCCTGGACCCCTTTTACTTTATATAGGACCTCCAAATAATACCTCCTTTCAGATCTGGGTACCTCTTCTGGTTACTCCTCTCACCGAATCCCCCAAGGAAAATCAGGAAGAAGAAAAAACCATAGCGTAATACCGTAGCGATTTCTCATCAAAAAAAATATATCTCTCCAGACCACTCACATTTTAGCAGGATATAACCCACATTTTATTTGAAACAACAACGATCTTTCTTTAAAAACGATCCTCTTTCCATGTACAGCGACTCTTGCATAAAAGACCCCACAGCCTAGTATATAGCAGGATGGCAGACCCACTGGGTCTATGGGTCTGCCATCCTGCTGTATACTAGGCTGTGGGGTCTTTTATGCAAGAGTCGCTGTACATGGAAAGAGGATAGTTTTTAAAGAAAGATCGTTGTTGTTTCAAATAAAATGTGGGTTATATCCTGCTAAAATGTGAGTGGTCTGGAGAGATATATTTTTTTTGATGAGAAATCACTACGGTATTACGCTATGGTTTTTTCTTCTTCCTGATTTTCCTTGGGGGATTCGGTGAGAGGAGTAACCAGAAGAGGTACCCAGATCTGAAAGGAGGTATTATTTGGAGGTCCTATATAAAGTAAAGGGGGTCCAGGAGCCCTTAATATTCCTGAAAGGCGTGTGACTCACTAATATCTGGTGAGTGCGGTTAATGTTGGTTTTTGCACTGGTGGATGGTGAAGGGATCAAAAGCACGGAAGAATCCAATGAAAATTACAGTATAATTACAATTTTTGTCACGGGACTGTTATTTTGGGATTTTTTTGTCACTGGACTTATTAATTCAATAATTATTTATTTATTTATGTATTTATTTATATATATTTTTTTATTATTTAATTAGCATATAAGTGGTCACGTTTTTTTAGTTTGTCTAATTAGGTTGGGTGATGCAATTTATTATGTGGGTTTTGCGCTGGTATTTATTGATATAAGTTTTTTTCGGTTTTTGCACCTGTGTACAGCAGCATCTCACGGGGAATTGTGTGTCTAATAAGAGAATCCTGGGCGCTGAGGTTTTTTCTTTTTGTCTACATTTTTGAATACTGAATGTTGTCAGCACTGCCCAGTTTTCTCTTGCCAAATTACACACATTGACCTAGTCTCCCATCTGCACAATATAATCAATTTGCAGTCCAAGAATAAGGAATACAAGGGCTATCAACTCTCCTTGAGATAACAAGGGGAACTGAACACAGGACTGTTCTGAATATATACCATGGGAACACACAGTATATAAATACGGTATATCTAGCATACTTCACAGATCTAAAGGAAGCACAATTAATCGTTAGGGTTTACACATACTTTAACCTTCAAGCAGGCTTTACCCCTATGCATTGTTTTTACTAGCATTACCACAATATGAAATGTGAAAATCCTCCCATGCAGCGGAGCTGCATTTGCATAGCAAGGGTTAACTGCTCCTTTAGATCTAGGGGGCATGGAAAAGTAGATTTACTTACCCAATCCTCCCTTCTACAAGCTCCTCTTAGACTGGTCCCTGCATCCTCTTTTCCCCTATGCTCTGGTGTTCTAAGGTCCGAGAGCCGTTAAAACTAATGCAGGGTCCATAGCTCTGCAGTGGACGTGAGGACACCAAGGCACAGTCCACCACTGGAGCACAGGGAAGTGTCATCTATCGCAGGAGTGGAGGACTGGGTAAATAAAATTGCTTATACCATCCCCTGGACTAAATGAGCAGTGAACACAAGCAGTGCAGGCATAGTCCCACTGAAAGGCAGAATTTTCAGGGCTCCCTGAGCCTTCAGCTTTGACACTTCCAACCCACCTGCAATGCAGCACCCCACATCATACAGCATCAAACTACTGTGTGTTATGATGCACTGAGGTGGCAAAAATGACACAAGTGCTTGTTTCAATCCACTAGTGCACAACATAATGCGCAATAATGTACTGCATCAGACCATGCAGGTATGAATGGGGCCAAAAGATGTAACACCTATGTTATAAATGCCATAGCTGGGAAACAGTTGTAGGATATCTAAAGTCAATATAATTGTTACAATATTATATGTAACAAAATGTCTGAGCTAGTTAACACTATTTGTATTCTACCTGTAATTCTGACAGCATTCACTAACAGAAAATGATTTATTTTACAGGCAAAACCCTGCAAAATTACCTTCAAGTCTTTATTGATAACTTTTTTTTCTAGTTAAATTTGAACTAAACACAAAACTTTTTTTTTTTTTTTAGTTTTAGTTAGATCGGGGGAGGGATTAGAACACCTGTCAGGTTTTATTGCTGTCTGTGCCCCTGTTAAGGAGATTCACTCTCTCCATTTGTCTTGTATACCGTTATCATCCAAAGTGAAGTAAAATCCCACTTTGTGTCACCAGAAAAGGAATGGAGGGGAAATCTTCCAATGGGGACCTTGGTAGCATGCTGGGATTCCCTCACTTTGGAGGGATTTTCTCACTTCCTGTTTTGGCTATGGGACAGAAAGGGAAATATTCCCAATGGGACAAAGATGGCAAAAAACCCCAAACAACCTCACAGGGGTTATAACCCTCCCTTACTCTATCCAAACTAATTTAAAAAAAAAAAAAAGCAGTGCTGATATGCCATATATACAACTAGAAATTACAAAAATATTGCAGACACGATACCTTTAACTCGGTGTGTTTTTGTTTGAGCTTATGATTTTCTTTGGCAATTTTATCCATTAGTCCCTCAAGAGATAGAACCAGATCTTGTCTGTCCTCTAGATCTTCTGTAAGCTGCTCCACAACCTCCTGAAAGAAACATTAAAAAATATATCATGGTATTATAATCTTAACATTATACTTGCTTGTGTCACTCTTCCAAACTGATGTGAATAACTGCCAAATATTCTGCAAGATTCAAAGGAATGAAAAGCCTCTTCTGATATGGAAGTGAGGAAAATGGTCCTAAAGTCTGAGCTTTTAGAGACTTAAAGTGGACCAACCACTATTTTACTACAATGCATCTCTGTGTACTTTCTGGTTTCCCTGAAGGCACTGATTATGTAGCCCTGGCCGCACTGATACTCCCTGGGAAGGCAAAGTCATCAGTGCCTTCTGAGAGATCTCGTATCTTATCTGTGGGATCTCGCTAGATTATCACAGTACTGTTGTACCGTGCGTGCACGAGATGGAGCATATGACGTCATGTGGCTCTTCTCACACATGCACCATATGGCTTTACATTCCTCTGGTTAAAAAAAATAAAGAGCCTATCACCCAGATTCAGGAGGGAAGGCTTCTTTTTTCTAAACAAACAAATGTAATGCCATATGGTGCATGTGCAAGATGAGTTACATGACATTGTGCACTCCATCCTGTCAACACACAAAAATGACTATATTGTGAGGGGACTCAGGAAAAGAATTGTAAAATGGCAGCACAGGAGTGAGAGCACAAGAAGCATGGAGGCTCCATAAAAAGTAAGAAAAAATTAGAAGACGTATTATGGAGGTAGAGAAGTTTACTTGTTTATGTTTTAGATCATCTTCATGATGTGATCTATAAAAGGGCCTGGGGGACTGGGTGAGGGAAGGGGAAGGTTTTCTTTAAAAAAATATCTAAGCCCATTACAATTGCCTAAACATACACCTAATCAAAGGCTATAAATGCAAAATCAATAAATCCTTGATCACCTTACACATTGAAAGAACAATTGGTATTCATAATGTACCACTTAGGAGTAATATGCTGATCCAAGAAACACAAAAAAATCACTGCAAAGTGTTGGGCAGCACCTTAGATTATGTGACTTCTTATGCTACTGCAGTGTGAAGAGGAAACCCCTGTACCATATGAGGAGGGACAATATCTGACATACTTGGAGTTGATACCAAGTGGATGTTTCTAATAGTAAAGCAATACAATATTATCAGTTATCATCGCAACTATACTAGAAAAACAGCTGGAATCTGAAAGGGCTCCGTGGAAATCACAGTTTCCCATTGGAAGTTAAGATAATCTTCTGATAGTTCACACCAATTCTAATTTATAACATCATTAAATTGTATCCAACAACAAAAAGTATAGTGTGCTCCCTTATTACCATGCTGATATTTACCTCAATTTTTGGCATTTTTGCAAGCTCCATGACTTTTCTGATTCTCTTTTTCTACTCAGTCCTGAGTTGCCCTTTCATTATGCTATGTCAGTGAACTAAAGCCGGGCACACGTGGGTCGAATTCCAAAAATATTGCTTTAGAAGATCTTTTTTAAGAATTTTCGCTTGAATTTCGCACCATTAGTGGGTCACGGAAACGGACGATTTTTATGTGACCATTGAATTTGAGTAGTCGGGCATGTTGGAAATTTTTGAATAATGAACGAATTTCAAATCAATGATGGGAGAATCGTGCGGGAAATATAAACGAAAAAGAAATGAGCATGAGCAGTGAACTGGAAAGAAAAGAAAATTCTTTGCCACAAAAATTCTTTTCTGTAGCAACATGAGGTGAAATTGAAGGCTTGGTTGGTTGAATTTCAAAATCAATGGTGGCACCATCGGATTACAAAACGCACAAAATTTCCAATTTTCTAAAGAAAATTTGTTCGTAATTAGACCCATGTATTGCCTGCATAAGTCTGGCACATTTTGCTGGCTGATAGCTAAAAAGAGTGGCAAATTTGAGTGGAGAGTGAAAAGCAGTTTTTCTTTTGACTGCTGGTGGTTGTAGTTGTTTTATTTTCTTTTTTGGGTCTTGCTAGAAGCTTTTACTTTTTTTTTTCTGTCAAATAGCTTTTTTTTCCCTTCCTTTCCTGGCCTTCCTTCAGTCTACTAATTACAGGAAGGGGTTAATTGGTCACAGGCGCTCCACTTCCTGTAGAGCTCACTCTGAGCTTGCATGTATTTTGCTTGCTGGACCCTTCAGCAAGTGGAAATTTGCTTAAGTGGAGTTAAAAAACCGGAGTGGAAAACAGGAGATTACAACAGTAATCTACTAACCTGTAAGTGACAACTGATATTTCCTATTAATATTGTAACTGGGATATGAGCGCTAGCAGGGTTGAAGGTTTTGTGCAGTGCACAGTGTGCTGCATGTATGCAGTAATGGAGCAACAACTCCAGGATGGGTACCCCTGCAACAGATGTGAGCGGGTTGCCCTTCTGGAAGTTTGCATTAGAGGAGCAAGTTGCCACACTGGGCAGAAGCAACAACCTTGAAAGGGGTCTTCTGCTCTCTGAGCAGGTAGCTAATGGGATTGATGTGGTGAGTGGAAAAACTAATCAGAATTATCAGGTAGGAAGATGGGCTACTGTAATGAGGGAGTGGTAGGGGCTTACAGAAAAGGAAGAAATTATCCAAGGCTGAGAGATGCTCTCCAGGACTTAGACTGGGAGGGAATATTGGCATCAATGAACACAACACAGAAATGGGAGTTCTTCAAAAGGACTGTGTGAACACACTGCAAAATATATTCCTATGGGCAACAAGTTTAAAAGGCTAAAAACCAAACCTATGTGGCTTACGGCCAAAGTTAAAAAAGCTATAGATAATAAGAAAAGAGCTTTTATTAAAGCTAAGAAGGAACACTATCATTGTTTAAACATTACAAAGAATATAACAGCGTATGTGAAAAGGAAATCAAGGTCGCAAAAATTTAAAACAACAGACTGCAAAAGATAGAAGGACAAACCCCAAAAAATTCTTCAAATATATTAATAGTAAAAAGGTCCAGTCCAAGCATGTAGGCCCTTTAAAAAATAATCTAGAGTGGGTGACTGGGGACAAAGAGAAAGCAAATTTATTACATACCTTCTTCTTCAGCTCTGTGTATACAAAGGAGCATGGGGGAGCTCTTGTCCATAATGGGCATGGCATTGACACAGCTCTAGTGATCCACATTGGCTCACAATTGATATGATCCAGAAATATTTAGACAGTATAAAGGTGAATAAAGCACCTGGACCGGATGGCATACACCCACGGGTCCATAAAGAATTGAGCTCTGTCATTTCAAAGCCATTGTTTCTATTTTTAGGGACTCTTTAATGACTGGCATAGTACCACTGGATTGGCGTAAGGCCAATATGGTGCCTATATTTAAAAAGGGGTCAAAATCTTTACCAAGTAATTATAGACCTGTTAGTTTAACTTCCATAGCTGGAGAGTTTAATAATAGACCACATAGATGAGTTCTTGATGGAAAACATTTTAAGCAACAGACAGCATGGATTCATGAAAGACAGAAGTTGTCAAACAAATCTGATTTCTTTTTATGAGGGGGTGAGCAAGACCTTGGACAGAGGGGTGGCGGTGGACGTGGTATACTTGGATTTTGCAAAAGCGTTTGACACAGTTCCCCACACACGGCTAATGTGTAAGGTAAAGGCTACAGGCTTGGAAAAATCAGTATGTAAATGGATAGAAAACTGGCTAAAAGATCGCATTCAGAGAGTAGTGGTTAATGATTCATACTCTGAATGGTCTGGGTCATCAGTGGTGTACCCCAGGGTTCAGTGTTGGGACCCTTACTTTTTAATATATTTATAAACAATATAGGATTTGGCATTAAAAATATAATTTCAGTCATTGCAGATGACACCAAGCTGTGCAGTGGAATAACATCCTTACAGGATGTCTTCAATTTACAAGCCGACCTCAATGCACTGTTTAACTGGGCAGCTATGTGGCAAATGAGGTTTAATGTTGATAAATGTAAGGTGATGCACTTGGGGGCTAAGAATATGCATACATCATATATACTAGGGGGGGGTACAACTGGGGGAATCAATGGTGGTGAAGGAACTGGGAGTTCTGGTAGATCACAAGCTTAATAATGGCATGCAATGCCAAGCTGCGGTTTTTAAAGCGAGCAAAATCTCTCTTGTATTAAAAGAGGTATAGACTCCAGAGAGAGAGGTATAATTTTACCCCTGTATAAATCATTAGTAACACCTCATCTGGAATATGCAGTTCAGTTTTGGGCACCAATTCACAAAAAGAACATTGGGGAACTGGAGAAAGTACAGAGAAGGGCAACCAAACTGATAAGAGGCATGGAGGAGCTCAGCTATGAGGAAAGATTAGAGGAACTGAATTTATTCTCTCTTGAGGAGATTAAGGGGGGATTTGATCAACATGTATAAATACATCAGTGGTTCATATAGTGAACTCGGGTTATTCAACCTGAGGTCCTCACAGAGGACAAGGGGGCACTCTTTACGTCTGGAGGAAAATAAATTTAGTCTCCAAACACGGAAAGGTTTCTACACAGTAAGAGCTGTGAGAATGTGGAATAGACTCCCTCAAGAGTTGGTTATGGCCAGCTCAGTGGATTGCTTTAAAAAAGGCCTGGATTCTTTCTTGGATACACAGAATATAATTGATTACTAACATTTTATAGGTAAAGTTGATCCAGGGAATATGCGATCTTGGGGGATCAGGAAGGAATTTTTTCCCCTGCAGGAGCAAATGGGGTCATGCTTTGCTGGGTTTTTTGCCTTCCTCTGGATAAACTCTGGGTGTAGGATTATAACTGGAATTTTGTCTTTTTTCAGCCAGACTACCTGTAACTATGTAACTACAGTGAAGGAAATAAGTATTTGATCCCCTGCTGATTTTCAATGTTTGCCCACTCACAAAGAAATGATCAGTCTAAAATTCGAATGGTAGGTGTATTTTAACACTGAGAGATATAATAGCAACAAAAAATTCAAAAGAAATGCATGTCTAACAAATTATGCACTGATTTGCATGTTCATGAGGGAAATAAGTATTTGATCCCCTTCACAAAACATGACTTTGTGATTGCCAACAAGGGATTTGCCACCAAGTACTGAGGTCAGACGTTTCCTGTAGTTGGCCACCAGGTTTGCACACATCTCAGGAGGGATTTTGGCTCACTCCTCTTGGCAGATCCTCTCCAACTCATTAATGTTTGGTGGCTTACATTTGGCAATTCGAACGTTCAGCTCCCTCCACAGATTTTCAATCAGATTAAGGTCTGGAGAGTGGCTAGGCCACTCCAGGACCTAAATGTGCTTCTTCCTGAGCCACTCCTTTGTTGCCTTGGCCATGTGTTTTGGGTCATTTTCATGCTGGAATACCCATCCACGACCCATTTTCAATACTCTGGCTGAGGGAAGAAGGTCCTCACTCAAAATTTGACGATACATTGCCCCGTGCATCGTCCCTTTGATGCGGTGCAGTTGTCCAGTCCCCTTAGCAGAAAAACACCCAAAAAGCAGAATGTTTCCAGCACCATGTTTGACAGTTGGGATGTTCTTCTTGGGGTTATAGGCAACATTCCTCCTCCTCCAAACAAGGCGAGTGGAGTTGATGCCAAAGAGCTTGATTTTGGTCTCATATGACCACAACATTTTCAACCAGTCCTCTTCTGCATCATTCAGATGTTTAGTGGCAAACTTTAGACAGGCCTGGACATGTGCTTTCTTGAGCAGAGGGACTTTGCGGGCACTGCAGGATTTCAATCCTTGTCGGTGTAGTGTGTTACCAATTGTTTTCTTGTTGACTGTGGTCCCAGCTGCCTGGAGATCATTGACAAGATCCTCACATGTAGTTCTGGGATTATTCCTCACTGTTCTCATGAGCATTGATACTCCACCAGGTGAGAACTTGCATGATGCACCAGACCTAGGGAGACTGACAGTTGTTTTGTGCTTTTTCCATTTGCGAATGATTGCACCAACTGTTGTCACCTTCTCACCAAGCTGCTTGGCGACAGTTTTGTAGCCCAGTCCAGCCTTGTGTAGGTCTACAATCTTGTCCCTGACATCCTTGGACAACTCTTTGGTCTTTGCCACGGTGGACAGTTTGGAATCTGATTGTTTGATTGCTCCTGTGGACAGGTGTCTTTTATACAGCTATCAATATGAGATTAGCAGCACTCCCTTTAAGAGACTGCTTCTAACCTCAGCTTGTTACCTGTATGAAAGACACCTGGTAGCCAGAAATCCTGCTGAATGATAGGGGATCAAATACTTACAGTATTTCCCTCATGAACATGCAAATCAGTGCATAATTTGTTAGACATACATTTTCTTTGGAATGTTTTGTTGCTATTCTGTCTTTCAGTGTTACAATACACCTACCATTTGGTTTTTAGACTGATCATTTCTTTGTGAGTGGGCGAACGTTCAAAATCAGCAGGGGATCAAATACTTATTTCCTTCACTGTATATCCTTTTCCCCCTGATTCAACCACCATACACAAAAGTACAACACAGAAGCTTAAACACTTTCAATCTATAAAAATGGTCACCTTGGTAAAAAAAAAAAATGCACTATATAAGCATTTGGACTCACTTTCTGGTCTAATGTGGATTCTTGATCCTTTTGACACTGAACCAGGTCATCCTTCATGTCATTTAGCTCATTTTCATGTATTTTTTCCACATATTTTTGACGTTCCATTATTTGAACAGTACCTTTAAAAGAAAAAAATTCTCATGGAATTTTAGACTAAACTGGTAACACTTTAAAAAATACATTGGGGGAGATTTACTAAAAATGGAGCACTAAGATTCTGGTGCAGCTCTGCATGGCAGTCAATCAGCTTCTAACTTCAGTTTGTTGAATTAAGCTTTGACAGTAAAACCTGGAAACTGATTGATTTCTATGCAGAACTACACCAGATTTTACATGCTTCAGTATTGGTATATCTCCCTCATTGAATCCACCCCTTCAAATATAACTGATTGTTACACTCTTGACACCTAGATATGATCGCTTCCTTTCTTATGAAACAGGCCAGGGTTTCTTGTGGGATACTTTAATTGGTTCCATTTCTGGTATTTCTCACTTGCTATATGCAGGCACTAAGGACCTTGGTATTATTGCCACTTTATATGTTAATCGTAAGCCATTTTAACACTTTTAGCTATGTATCCTCACGCGATTGCACCTTGACAACTGATGCTACCTCCAGTGTTTTTTTATGTTCTTGATTTGATTGTCCTTCATGTGGCCTTTAGTTCTTTTTAATCATTATTTACGAAGTCACACATATTATATTGTACAGTGGGTTTTGTTTCCTCCTGTACAACTTCCTTTTTTTTCAATAGAACTGGCTTATTTTCAACGTTACAAAAAAAAAAAAAAATTACATAAAATACATTGAATCCAAATATTAAACAGCATCTGTCATGAAAGCAACATGGAGACCACCACAGCTCCTAATCAACTCATTCTAGTTGTTAGCTTTCTTTGGCTACAAAAGTAAACTTGAAATGTCTTAAAATATGTCTAAGATAACAAATGCTGAAGTGCAGAGTCTTGTGATGCCTGCAAGGGGATAGGTTGGCATTCAAATTGTTGCATGTGTCCTTGTGTTCTGACCTGGAATAAGTCAGCCGATTCTGATTTTGTCCTTTATAAGTACCTCAGAAAGTAATGGAGCTGGAGATAGCTAGGCAACTCCCTAAAATTCCCTGAAAGTCATAAGGACAAAATGTTAGGGACGTGGCTAAACGGCGGGGGGTGGTGAGATACTGCATACTTTACTGTGATGGCAAAGGTCTAACGAATTGGGACTGTGATAAGTGATTATTCTTTTTATGTTTCTTTTAGAGTTTTAAAGTACCGCTGTGGGGAAGGAAGATTTTGGATGGATCCGCCTAAATGGATAATCGAATAAAAGTGTTTGCCTCTCAGAAATATGACAGGCATTTGCTTGCAGTGAGTGTATCCTAAGGGGATGTGGTTCACTGAGCACAAAGGGTGATTGATCTGCTATTCTGAGTAAAGGTGGAGGAGTGAAGCTGTGAGCTATTTGACCCAGAGGAAAACGTCTCACTGACTGTTTGGGATTTGTTGCACTTTTCATCACCAATTGGTGGAAGACTATGAGCTTTTAAAAGTGTGGAGCGCTGCTGTGATTAGAGAAACATATTTACCATAGAAATGTCCAAACCCCATGCTTATAGCTATGACCAGAGCAAGAATAATGCACTTGTTCAGGTTGTTCCCTGTTTTTGCTGGTGTTCTTGGCTCAGGAAGCACTGCATGGTCAGGAGTAAGCTTGTTCTCAGACTCTGACATAGAGGCAGTTGATCTTTTAGAACGTCGCCGTCGCAAGATGGGTCCAGAATCATCACTTGCTTCATCATTGCTGGACTCATCTTCACTGTGCTGGGAAGGATACACTGCAGAGAGAAAGACATTACTTACACCAATTACAACACAACTTGTAGCCAAGTCAGAAAAATGTGTTCACACCAAACGCAGGGGTGATGTAGTGGGTGTTACTTGGCATGACAATGATCAGATTATACTTGCTCTTTAACAGCAACACGGGTTAACTTGTATAGCTGAAAGGATTTTTACTGTATTTGGAACCATATAACACTCATTTTATTAACTCTTTAAAGTCTCACTAACACCAACTTTTTAGTGTTTGCTTAGACTATCACAGCCGCCATCTGTAATAACCAGTGTAATTATACTTTAGGCAATTTCCTTTCAATCATGCTCAATTTTTGCAGAATTCACACAGTCTGATAAGGCAACAAACCAGCTGTAATTCTGCTGTCAATATTGTCACCACTAAGGAAGTCTTTCAGTGCAGAGCTATACAAGAAGCTTGCATGTGTCTATAGATGTACACAGAAGGTGATCTGATACCTGCAAAGTAGAAGGCAGAGACTTGAGATACTAGATCCCGGTTTACAAACTTGTATCAGGACTGCTATAAACTCAAGCAATGCTGGAAAACAAAGGTTTCTATGTGGTTTTATGTCACATGGTAATGCAACCAACAGAGATATAAAACATTATTATTATTATTATACAGTATTTATATAGCGCCAACGGTTTGGTCAGCGCTGTACATTATAATGGGAGGCAGTACACGAGACAGTACAGTAACAATACAATACACGAGGGGTTCGAGGGCTCTGCTCCTTGAAGCTTACAATCTAGGAGGGAGGGGAGAGTGGTACAGGAGGAAATAGCTGTGGGGGATGGAGTGGTGGGAAGAGCGGAGAAGATCAGCAAATTAGGTGAGGGCGGGGTAGGCTTCTCTGAAGAGATGGGTTTTCAGGGTGCGCCTGAAGGTGACAGTCTGATGGATTGGGGTAGTGAGTTCTAGAGGATTGGGGAAGCCCTGGAGAAGTCCGTCTCGGGCATGGGAGGAGGAGACCAGGGAACTGGAGAGAAGGAGGTCTTGTGAGGAGCAGAGAGTGCGTTTTGGGTGGTAGATGGATATCAGGTCGGTGATGTAGTTTGGGGCAGTGTTATGAGCAGCTTTGTATGTTAATGTTAATATTTTAAATTTTATGTGTTGGGCAATCGGAAGCCAGTGGAGAGATTGGCAAAGGGGGATGGCAGAAGTGGAGCGGTTGGTAAGGTGGATGAGTCTGGCCGCAGAATTCAGGATAGACAGAAGCGGGGATAGCCTGTGTTTGGGGTAGGCCGGCGAGGAGGGAATTGCAATAGTCAAGTCGGGAGATAAGGGAATGAATGAGTTGCTTTGTAGTTTCTGGAGTTAGGAACGTGCGTATTTTGGAGATGTTGCGGAGGTGGAGTCTGCATGAATTTGTCAGCGGTTGGATCAGGGGCTGGAAAGACAGATTGGAGTCTAGAATGACACCTAGTACTCTGGCTTGCGCGGTGGGGCTGATGGTGGCGTTGTTGGTCGTGAGGGCTGGTGGAAAAACATTAACCTCCTTGGCGGTATTCCCGAGTGTAGCTCGGGGTAACATTTCAGTACCAAAAGCGGTAACCCCGAGCTACACTCGGGCTTACCCTGCGGCACTGCTCCGGCAAGTGTTTTTCACTTACCTTACCCTGCGCTCCCACGATGTGTCCCCTGCAGCGTCCCCGGCCATCTCCTTCGGCCGATGCCGGCATCCGGCTTCTGTGTCCTGTGACGTCGGGACGTACGGGCGCCGCCGCCGCCGCGCGGCGGGAAATTTAAAAATTTTAAAAAATGTCATTTTTTTTTTTTTACATTTTACATAGTAAAACATTGCTGTCTCAACCAATTTCACATACATATTGTCCCTAGTGCTTTGTCCTGCGCCCTGCCTGCATTTTGTCTGTTCTTTCTGCCTGGAAACTGAGAAATGTCCACGGCGTCCAAAAAAGTGTCCCTTTAGGTCAAAAGCGGTTTAGATCAGCTAGAGAACAGCGATAGTAAATCAGAACCACTTGCAGAATTGAGTGATAATGATTCGTGGGGGAAATTTGTCATCAGACACTGAAAAACGATTTTGCGACTGAGCTCAGCATGTGCGAACTTGGCGCTCTATTTCACATTTCAGTGTTTTTGGTTTGATTATATTATTGAATTAAATTTTTTTATTATTTTTATATTATTTTTTATGATTATTTATTAAATTATAATTTATGATTTTGTGTTTCAAATTTTATCATACCCGGGATGCTTACTAGACTCTTGTTCGGGAGTGTAGATTTCAGTGAGTTTTTCCTAAAAATTATAGCCTACAATAAAAAAAATACATATTTTCCATGCAAAAAAATGTGGTACCGCTTTCAGCACCAAAAATCTGAAATAATCATACCGCCAGGGAGGTTAAGGAAGAGCCAGCTTTCCAAAAATTAAGTCAGCAGCTACAAAAATTGTAGCTGCTGACTTGTAATAAACAGACACTCATCTGTCCAGGGATCCAGCGCTGTCCTCTCCCTCCCAGTCTGGTTCTTTGCTAGTCTTCAGGCCCCAAGCACCGGGTCCCAAGCACCAGCATGTGAAGTGTGGTGAACAGACCTGCAGCCTCTTGGGACCTGTAATGTGTCCCAGAAGGTTTCAGACAGGATAGGGTGGCAAACTTGCGTTCTGATCAGCTAGGCAGCCAAAGCAGAGCTGGGATTGGGTACCTCTCAAAACTAGGTACCCACTCCCCCCCCCCAAAAAAAACAAATCTATATATATTTAGATATATTCCAATATGGCAGATGAGGAGGGGAGGAGGAAGAAAAGGGAAACTTCCCCGTTTAGGTGAAGTTCCACTTTAATAACCTAGATTTCATTAATTGTTTTGAGGCACTAAAATTATGTGAGGTTTCTCTACCCAGCACTGTGAGTCCCCATACACACTCTAGTGTTTTGTAGAGTGATTACCTATATGTGACTACACTCAATATGCAAAATTCTATTGTTTGTATTTGTGCCTGTTTATATTTCAATGCTCACTCACTGTATGCTATTTTTCTTTTACAATGGAGTTTATTAAGTCATCAGATCAGATAAATCCAAGGATAGAAGTAACAGTGAAGAGGAAATAAACATACAGTTCCTCTAGGTAACATAAAGCATAATAAATGCACTGACATTGTATGCTATTTGTCAAGCATAATCAGGCATGTGTGACCCCACGTTTTCAAATTTCAAGAACTCCTCTCTTTTCTATATGACTGCCCTCCTCATCTTGCCCAGCCCAGGAAACAAACGCCTGACATATGATACATGTGCAAAAACGCACAAAGCTTGTAAAATGCTTAAGAATACCCAAAAAATGCTTCATAATTACCAGAAATGTGGTCTGCTTGGGAGTGTAGGAAAGCTAGTTCTACTTGAACTTTTTCAAATTTACAGCAATTAGGTCCAAATAACAGCCTGTGGCAGAAGGCTTTTGTTCACTTTAAGTGGGTTTTGCATTCTTTTACAAGTCTGGGAAGAAAGTCAGATGTACCCATTAATGAACTGTGAATGATCTCAGAAGTATCTCCAACTGACTCCAGTGACACAAGCCCAGCAACACAAGCCCTTACAGTCATTTCCAATAATGGTTCCAATCTTTCTTAACTTTCAACTTATTAACAAGAACAAGAAAACCTTTCAATGTTTCCTGCTCTCTTTCTCATTGTTGTAAGGACTCTTACCCATTACTATTTGTGACTTTACAATGCAATCTAGACTACCACATACAGTGCAGTATACATCACTGATCAAGTACAGAGCAGTCCTCTATATCTCTTCAAAGAGGGTGAAGCATTTTTTTTTCTACCAGAAGTCCATACACTACCAATCTTGACTGGTTACTAAAGTTGGGTATACACGTTGAGTTTTTTTTTTTTTCATTCAACCACCTCGTTGAACAAAAAAACTCCCATATAGCTGCATCCACGCAGATGATGTGGATGGAGGCATCTCTCCTGCTGTGCGATTGTATTCTGACCATGGGGATTCCCCCCTCCTCAGAAAATACAGATCAGCACTGCAGCCATTGGCAGGACTGGTCAAATGACCAGCTTTTGTTGAACAGAGTGGTAGACATATACCATAATTCAGCCATATACCCATTTCTCCACCAATCAAATTATTGACACAATGGATGAAGGTGATCTGATCTTCATAACATGTAAGGTTTCATTATATAATCTCCATTATACTGCAGATATGTATTGTTAGTAAGCAAAGAAATAACATTCTAAATATTAATACTATTACTAGTAATATCAAGATGGGTTTTTCACCATTAACAGTAAGACCCTCACTCTGTTGATGTTAAAATTTTCTTGGTGGTCTATGTCTATTCAGTTATACCAGAATTAATACAACATCATATCTGAATGTGGGATTTCAGAAGAGAAGACTGTGATGATTACATACTCAGATCTCACTGATGAGGACCAGAATGTGATGTATTACAAACCGAACCTATTTTATTTTCTCCCATACCATTCCAACCAATGTCTCCATTTTGTCCCAAAACCTTAGTATATAACTGACCAGAGACATTAGAGCCTGCAATCTTGCCCTCCCAGGTCTCTCAGACAAGATCGAAGAGTCCTCTCAGGCTACTTCAGTATAGGGTTTAAATGCCTATGAACTGGGCACCTCCCTATAGGCAAACAGCGGGTAAATCACATATTACTCCCACTCTTTTTCCTGAGATTCCACAAATATCCTCAGCGTACAATGATCATTCATATCTTTATGACCACCCACCATAACATTATGACCGCCAACCTAATATTGAGTAGATCTCCCTTTTGCCACCATAACAGCCCAGACTTGTCATGGCATGGACTCCACTAGACCTCTGAAGGTACGCTGTGGTATATGGCACCAAGTCGTCAGTAGCAGATCTTTTAAATCCTGTGTTGAGGTGGGGCCTCCATGGATCGCACATGTTTTTCTAGCACATCCCACAGATACTTGATTGGACTGAGATCCAGAGGA